GAAGTAACTAGTAATGTAACTAAGTTACTATTTTAAAGTAACTTACCCAACACTGTTCACCGCACAGAATGATGATGTGTAAGAGGTTTTTCAAAAATGTTTTTTCCATACTGACAAGATAGGATCACATAGCTGATGCACATTTGTGAGCTGCATATCCATGATGACGATCTCCTGTTCCATCACATCCCAAAGGTGCCCTGTTGGATTGATATCTGGCGACTGTGAAAGGCATTTAAGTTCAGCAAATGCTCAAGAAACCAGCTTGAGATGATTTGAACTTGATGGCATTGCACATTATCCTGTTGAAAACAGCCATCAAAAGAGCCCTACACTGTTGTTATAAAGAGATGAACATCAATATAAATGGTGCCCTGGTAGGTTGTGGTGTTTAAACATTTTTCCAATCTCCTATTGTCCATTTTTGGTGAGCCAGTGTAATCTGTAGTCTCAGTTTCCTGTTCTTTGCTGACAGAGGCGGCAGGCGTGGACGTGTTGTGCGCCCAGTTGTGTTATTCTGTATGCCTTGCTTTTAACATGTAGATATCTGATTAACTGTTGCCCATTTATTAAAAAAACAGTCTAGCCATTCTGCTCTGACCTCTGGTATCAAGACATTTTCACTCATAAACCTCACTCTATGTTTTCTTTTTTTGGACCATTCTCTGTAAAACCTACAGATGGTTGTGTGGAAAAATCTCAGTCGATCAGCAGTTTCTGAAATACTGAGACCAGCCTGTCTGGCACCAGGAATAAAGCCATGTTCAAAGTCACTTAAGAGTACGTTTCTTCCCCATTCTGCTCAGTTTCAACTTCAGCAGGTTGTTTTTTCTATATCTACAGGTCCAAATGCATGAAGTTGTAGCCATTTGAGATGCTGATTATATAGATATGAAAAACTAGTTCATGAATTTATTACTTTTAGGCTGGACTATTGCAGTTGATTATTATCAGGATGTCCTAAAAACTCTTTGAAAGCCTTCAGTTGATCCAACATGCTGCAGCAATTGTACTGACAGGGACTATATTGGCGTCTCTTCATTGGCTCCCTGTTAAATCCAGAATCAAATTTAAAATCTTTCTCCTCACATACAAGGTCTTAAATGATCAGCCCCCATCTTAGCTTAAAGACCTCATAGTACCTTATCACCCCAATAGAGCACTTTACTCTAAGACCACAGGCTTACTTGTGGTTTCTAGAGTATTTAAACGTAGAATGGGAGGCAGAGCCTTCAGTTTTCAGGCCCCTCTTCTGTGAAACCAGCTTCCAGTTTGGATTCAGGAGACAGACACTATCTCTATTTTTAAGATTAGGATTAAAAATTTCCTTTGTGATAAAGTATATAGTTTAGGCTGGGTGTATAAGATAAAATAAGATAAGATAACCTTTATTAGTCCCACGCCTGGGAAAATAGCCTACATCAACCTACATCTATATGTATAGATGTAGGTTGCTAGGGGCTTCCTATGATGCACTGTGTATTTCTTCAGTATGCCTCATTTTCACTGTGTTTGTACACCACTCTGCATTTAATCATTAGTTATTATTAATTTCTGGCTCTCTTCTGCATCATGTCTTCCTCCCATTAACCCCAACCAGTCACGGCAGAGGTTTCTTACTGTTAAAAGGGAGTTTTTCCTTCCCGTTGTCACCAAGTTCTTACTCAAAGTGGGTTGTTTGATTTCTGGGGTTTTCTCTCTATTATTTTAGGGTCTTTACCTTTTTGGCAATATATGAATAACATTGAATTGCATTAAATGTATGAGCTGAAATGTTAGATGACCAAAAATCCTTTCTGAAACGTAGTAATTCTCAACAAAAAAAGATTTCCTGATGTAAAATTGCTAATGACAGGATGCCCACAAGGCAAAGATTATACCTCTCTACAGAATCTTACAACTTGGATCATAATAATAGAAAAAGGAAGGACAAGCACAATTACTGATGGCATTCAAAGAATCTTGTATTTTTCCAGCACTGGTCTAACATTAAATCAGAGTGAAAGTAGTAGAAGCATCAGTTTATATTGTGCATAAACAATAATCACCAAGCAGGCACATAATAAGAAGTGTTAGGTTCTGTCTGCCTGCCTGCCTGTCTGACTGTCCATCTGTCTGTCTCACTAATGTGGCCAAAAGCAACATTTGGCATCTGTAAAAAAAAGAAAAAAAAAAAGAAAAACTCTTTCAGTGAGCTGACGGTGTGTATGTGCATGTATGTCAAGGGGAAACACTTGATGGGTGTAAGCTACACACTTGGAAGTAACGAAGGAGCCGGTTCTCTATGTGTGTGTGCTGGCGTGTGTGTGATGAGTGGTGGGGTGACATTGTGAACGTGTGTGTGCGATGCTGTGACACATCGCCTACGACTCATTATGGTTTCACTGTGATCAGACGGCAAGGGAGCTGTCAACCACACACTTGTGCTCACACACACACACACACACAATTCAGACACCTCCGTCGTTACTTGCAGCTCTTGACATCTCCCAGCTCGCACCCCCTCTAGCGCTCCCCCGCAGGACACAAGCACATACAGTGCAAACACACAAAAAGACACACCGAGCACACATATTCATGCACGCACATTAGCACACATGGAAACGCATGCAGATAATCAGAAGGGCATCTACAATTACAGCCCTGTGTGGGGGAATGTTAACGTGTGATTAGTTTATTTTCAATGCGTGTTTGTGTATTTGTTAGTATGTTTGTGTGCTCTGAAATCCTCTTTCTCTTCATTAATGTCAGGCCTGCCTGACTGTTGTTACTGGATGTGATCACACACAGCAGATCAAAGGAACACAACAGTAAACACTGGGGTGCACATGTGTGTATTTGTGTGTCTTGTGGTGTTTTTTTTTCTTTTTTAATAACTCAGAACTTTCTTTTTCATGTCATTGATTAAAGTATTTATAACAATTCCCACATCCCTCTTGTCGCCTGGCCATCACCTGCCTACACCAGTCCACCAGATCAGTCTCTTTGCCACATCCTCCTTTGTATCTCACAGTTGTACAGTCAACTTTGGTTCTGCCTCCTTCTTTATCATCTCTGACCACTCTGGATTTTTTCTTCTTTGCCTATATAAGCAATGCATTAAATCCAGAAATTCCAGCATGGTTTAAGTAGATTTAAACTAACCCACCTTAACCCTTCTTCCCCAACTGGGACCAAAGAAAGACAAATAATCTTGAGTGAATCCAACCTCCTACCCCCAACAGCTGTATTTTGAGTGAGCAGATATCCAGGTCAAGGCTTCCCATTATATGAGCTGGTATATTGGAAATGTTTGCAAATGTGTTTTCTCTTTTGCTTAAGAAGGACAGCTTACCCTTATGCAACCAAAAGCCTTTAGATATACAGTTAAAATGATCAGCATGAATTATTTCAGCCAGAATAATTGTATAGTCAAAATCTGACATTGCAGCAGGCCTAGTTTGTGACATCTTCATGTGTTACCTCTCCATTCTCCAGTGGGTGAATCTTTGAGTAAAAGGATGTGCAGATGACTTCATCATCTCTGGTGTAGGATGGAGGTCCTGTCCGAGGATTTATGTTGAACCTTGTCAGGCACTCTGTGTCTGTGATAGCATAGTACTGCCAGGGTTCAAAGGTCATGCCATCTATTGAACGCTCTAAGATCCAATTGCCTGCGGACAAAAAAAACGATGGTAAAGAAAACAATGAAATGCTTTCAGTGTGCGATGAGGAGACCAGGGAAGATCAATAAAAATAATGAGTGGCACGCAAGTCTCTGTTAAGGTCACGCTGCTTAATATACATAGAAAATTGACAAAACATTCACTTTCATATTTAACTGTGGTATTCTGGATTGATTAAATGCAAAGTAAAGTGAGTCCTGCTGGACGAAAAAAACAACTGTAAAGACAACAACAGCAAAATCAAACAAACATGCACTCATAATTTCCATCATCTTTATTATTTATTTGTTTATTGTATTTCTGTGTGAACTAGCTAGAACATCAGCTTTATTTTTGCCCATTATAATTGCTTATTTTATCATGTAAGCACCACATCCCTCCATTATATAGAGTCATGTGAAAAAGCAGGTTTTTCACATTGCTTTCTGCAATACTGTCAAAAATTAGGTTCACCTTTACTATTTCCATAGGAATTAATTAGGGTAAGTAACAGACAGGTGCTGCTAATGAAATATATTTGATTAACTGATAATCAGCAAGCGTGACCACTTCTATTATGCAGGTGGTCTGGATCTGGATGGATTTGGGTCTGTGTTAACACGATGCCACAGACCAGACAGGAGGCAGGAGGCTCCGGTCCATCAGGCAGGAGGCTCCGGTCCATTCGCACCAGAACCTCTCGCCATAAGAACAGTTTCTTCCCCTCTGCTGTTGGACACATGAACAATAAACACATGACCCTACGCTGTGTCACTGCATCATTTCATGTTTGGCACTGATCACCACCTGCACTCATGTATATATCTTTCTACGTAGCACTCATAATTCTTATTCTCATGTATATATCTCATGTATATCTCATGCACATATCTTTCTTTCTACATAGCACTTTAATTCTTATTGTTTGCACTGAAGCACCGCAGCAATTTCCTAATGTTGTAAACCTCAACATCTGGCAATAAACCCCATTCTGATTCTGATTCTGATTCTGATTCTGACAACTCTGTAAATTCCCACCAAGGTCAGATCGTGCAGTCCTCTTAAAAACTATAAAGAAAAACCAAGATCTGACAAAGACTCTACAGGCCTCAGTTAACATGTTTAATGGTAAAGATCATGACAGTACAGAGCAGGGGTGTCCTGCAGGTTTTAGATGTGTCCTTGATCCAACACAGCTGATTTAAATGGCTAAATTACCTCCTCAGCATGTCATCAAGTTCTCTAGAGGCCTGGTAATGAACTAATCATTTGATTCAGGTGAGCTGACCCAGGGTGATATCTTAAACCTGCAGGACTCTGGCCCTTGAGGCCTGCAGTTCCCACCCCTGATTTAGAGAAAGACTGAATAAGTAGCACTTGTCTGGAAGTACAATGCTACAAGAACATTGTAACATGGCTTAGGTTTGCAAAGTTGCATCTGAACAAACCACAAGACTTGTGGAACAATGTCCTTTGACGAAATCAAATGGAGATGTGGCCATAATGGATAGCACTGTTTGCCAAGAACATAGTAATTCCATAGGAATTCAACTGTTTCGTCTTTTTCTAGATTACTTTTCAACATATTTAAACCTTCCACCGCCATTTTACTTTAACGTGCTAGTTTGTTGTTTCACATCAGTATTTTTAATCGCTGAGCTAAAGATCCATTTGATTGAATGGAGTCTTCCATTATATGAAGGCTTCTCTGTGGGATGATCATTAGCTTGATGATTAATGCTCCTAAGACGAACCCTGCGCATTAGTCACAGTCCTCTCCTTAAAATGAATCAAAGCAAAAATATTAACACTTCCAGCAGTATGAGACTGATAAAATAACATTTTTATAATTGAACGCATACCTGGGCGAGGTGAGTTGGCTGCCTTTATTATCACATAGGCGATCTGAAAAACCTGAAAGATGCACACAGAAAAAATCCACATCATTCCTTGGTTTTAACAATTACACAATTCTTTCACTGTTTAAGCCTTAATACAGAGCAGTCCAATATTAGAAACCTTTAACAGGGATATGTGAATAAATAAAATGTTACTGTATCTCAGACTGAAAATTCAGTTCTTTTCAGCTTTTTTCTTGCTTCACTGTAACAAATATATGACATTCAATATTTCCCCAAAATTAACAAAAGTTGTGCATGCCTGTGCCTACAGATGAGCAAAAAGTAAAAAAAAATACATAGAGAAATGAAATCCATTAGACCACACTGTCAAATAACACACACGTCTACTCATCACACAGTCTTCCTGTCAGCTTCTCTCCCTTTAATTTATTGCATTAATATCTTAGAAGGCGTTAACATGTTAACACATATTAACACTTGCTGGGGAGCTTTTTTAGCACTTGCAGTAGTGTATCAAGTTCTCCTTATTTTGGGTCAAATTATCTTCATTTCATTAATTTCTCCCCTGCTCTGCTCGATGGTGAAACATGGAGCAGAGGAGGGCAGAAAAACTCTCACTGCGGAGTTTAACAAGTGAAAATTAAAAAATAAAGCGCACATAAATTGGGTAACTGAATGCTCAGGACTGCACTTTGCCCTTGTTGCTTTTACAGTGCAGTGCAGTAGATTGCAGGTGTTAGGGAGAGGCTTACATGCACGAACACGCCAGCTGTACCGATTGCCAAAAACAGTAAAGAGGGAAACTCAGATTAAAACTCACACAAAGGGAGCATGAGTTTCTCATGTGCTTAAAGCCAATGCTTATTTGCTGCTATAGTAATTTCAAAATGTATGAAAATACATATGCAAACCAGCGCTTACAGTAAGCCGGTTTCGTGGTAACTTTAAGCTAGACAACCACAATAAACCAAAAAACCCCCACCAAACTAAAAGGTTTTTATTTTTCAGTCACTGAATGTTGTAGTCCAGTTTTGCCCGACTTTTTGTATTTATAAAATAGAAATAAAATATTTTATTATGATTTAAATAAAAAAAAATTCCAGATTCGCTCAGCAAGATAAAAGGTCAGCTCACTATAGACAGGTATAAAAATGTACTGTATATGCGAAATTCAGATTTAGGTCAAATGCTTGCTTGAAGTATCTTCACCAGGCTGTGCTTCCTTTCTCTATGCAAGCTCATTGGCCTTTCTTCTCAGATGTGGGAAGAAGTGTCACATTGCAGCAATTAGAATAGGGAAAAAGCGTGTGTGTGTGTGTGTGTGTGTGTGTGTGTGTGTGTGTGTGTGTGTGTGTGTGTGTGTGTGTGAGAGAGAGCAAAAGAGAGGGAGGGTGAGAGAGAGCGAGAGATTGTGTCATTTAAGTAACCCTATAGCAGTTATTCAAGCCTCCTACAAAGAGTCACTGTTACTTACTGAGAACGGGATGGTGTGTATGTGTGTATGTGTGTGTGTATGTGAAAAGGAGTGATTTCAGGGGTAACTTGTAATATGGTGACAACTTTGGGACAGCTAGGCAGCTCCAGCAGCTAAACATAGATCAACACTACTAACTAATGCACTCTGTGTCTATGTGTGTGCGCGCGCACCCAGGGTTGCATTGTGTCATAGTCTAGGTTTTGATCAAATGTGGATCAGACAAGAGATTTTTTGCAGCCTCTGGAGCTCAACACAGCATCAACAAATAAACAAACCAATAACCATCCTGCAAAATATAAGAGAGCTGTTGAATAAATATGAATCTCATAGGCATGAAATTTAATTTAATGTCAGATAAATACATTTATGTAGAGCCCATATAAGTATAAAGTTTAATTGGATAGATTCTCAGCTCAAACATTTATTTATTTATTTTTCCCTTTATAGTGCAAGAACTATAAGCTCAAAGTAGCAGGGTGTCAGCGAGTTTCATCAGGTTTTGCATGAGACCTTGTTATTTCCAACTTAAAATGAAGCAAACAAAACATTCTCAATGGATAAAAAAGTGCATCACCAAATGAAAGAAAAAAGAAATTGAAATTTTTGAACAAAAATAAAATGTGGTGGTATTACTACAGAGTTACTGCCTTTCAATACCATTGTATTTGTCACCCCACTTAAAGTACAGTCCAACAATGTTAACGTCATGTCTATTTTATCTATCTGGTCTATCTTGTGAACCAAAACTTATTTTTATTCTTTGCAGCATAATTATTATTAATTATTAATTGAATTTTAGCTTCAAATATTTACTCTGTCAGTTTGCGGTTCCATATGGTAGTGGTTAACACATTCACCTAACACACAAAAGTCCTTGATTCAAGACTGGGACAAGAGACAAAAGTCTCTCAGGGAGAAAGGATTCCTGTCAGGAGGGGCATCTGAAATCTTTACCAAATCAAATATGCATATTCTTCTACTGTGGCAACCCTTACTGAATAATGTAGCAGCTGAAAGGAGTTTTACAGCATAATGTTCTACTCTGATCCAAATAGTGGCATGGTGCTTAGCACTGCCACCTCCCAGGACGAAGGTTCTGGGTTTAAATCCGCCACCTTAGAGGGATCTTTCTTTCTGGGTTGAGTTTCTATGTTCTCCCCATGTCTGGGTGGGTATCTCTGTGAATATGTTGTGGCTTGTTGGCTGTCTCTCTGTGTTAGCCCAATGCCAGACTGGAGACCTGACCAGTCCCCCCCACACCCACCCACCCCACCCAACCCCAAAACACACAAATTTAAATATTAGACAAAGCTAATGCAAATGCAGTTTCTAAATGATGCGGTTAATTATTAAGGGGGAAAAAACAAAACCAACATGGCACTGTGTGAAAAAATGTCCCAAACCTATATAAATGACTATAAATAACTGTAAATGAGTCTTCTTCAGCACTATGGAGGAAATTTGGCACAATCATCTTTGCAGAATTGTTTTAATTCAACCACATTGGAGAGTTTTCAAGGTTGAACCGGCTTTTTAAGATCATGCCATCAAGCACATCAATCAGATTCAGGTCAGGACTTTGACTCGGCCACTCCAAAGGCCTGACCTGAATTCGATTGAGATGCTGTGGCATGATCTTAAAAAGCCGGTTCATTCATTTTGATTTTCTTAGGTCATTCAGAGGTAAAATTGGTGTGTTTTCGATCTAAAGTACCAAAGTACGCTTCAACTTGAGGTCACGAACAGATGGCTGGATATTCACCTTCAGGATGTTTTGGTATACAGCAGGTTGGTTCCATTTACCACACCAAGACATCCAGGTCCCCTGACACAGCAGAACAACCCCAGACCTTCAAACTACCACTGTTGCTATGATGTTCCTTTTCTAAAATACTGTGTTAGTTTTATGCTGGATGTTACAGGACTCAAACCTTCTAAAAAGTTGTCTCATCGGTCCACAGAACATTTTCCCAGATGTCTTGGGGGTCATTAAGATGTTTTTTGGCAAATGTGAGACAAGCCTTTGTGTTCTATTTGCTCAGCAGTGGTTTTTGTCTTAAAACTCTCCGATGGAAGCCATTTTTGCATACTTATTTTTGATGAACTCTGACTTTAACTGGGATATGTGAAGCCTGTGGTTCTTTAATCTTCTTCTGGGTTCTTTTTTGACCTCCTGGATGAGTCATTGCACTCTTGGAGTAATTTTGGTAGGCCAGTCACTCCTGGGAAGCATCACCACTGTTCCAAATTTTCTCCATTTGTGTATAATGGCTCTCACCTTGATTTATTGGAGTCCTAAAGTCTTAGAAATTGCTTTGTAACCCTTTCCAGGTGGATAGATGTCAGTGACTTTATTTCTCAGGTGTTTCTTTAGATTGTAGCAAGTTGTGTTGCTTTTTGAGATCTTTTAGCTTGCTTCACTTTCGTCAGACAGGTTCTATTTATGTGATTTCTGGATTCAACAGCTCTGCCAGTAATCAGGCCCATGTGTGTTTAGTGAAATTGACACTGAAATAATCACATGTTAATTCAATGACGTTACAAATTTTTACTGATACCATTTAAAAATAAATGGTTTGATACTGGTGCTGAAGCCTTAAACGTTCTTTCTACAGTAAAAACACAAATTCCAACATGTTAATGCACAGACAGACGGTGCTCTTGTGCAATTAAAAAGTATAAAATTTAACAGCTTGTACTTTTGCGAGAGAATCTGTGTGCTCTGTGTTTTGTTTGAGTTTATAAAAAGTTAAAAAGTGAAACGGTGAGTCATTTGTTCCCCAGGTGAAGTGGAAAATCGTATTTGTTTTTTGCACCGATGAATAATTCTTTGACTCAAAAATAAACTTCTGAATCATTTTAATTTTACATTGCACATTGCCTCAGATAAAAGTGACAAGATTTCAGAGTTGACGTAAATAAAAACACAATAAAAAAGTGTCTTTAAAGTTTACAACATTCGCACATATATCTAGATCTCATAGAAATCTTTTTTTTTTAATGAAAAACTCAGAAAAATATAAATTCATTTCCAAATAGCTCTCATGTATTCCATTGCTGCCATTACATACTTGACAGAAAATCATCATGATATGCCAGGAACTGGCTTTTGGCAGATATTTCAGCGTTACAGCCAACTGAGCACTTAAAATGTTTATTTTAATGCTCAATCGGGCCACTTAAGCCCCGTATCCAGTGTGGCTAGGTTGCCTACAATTAAATAGCCTGTGAAGAATCCATTTTGTCTCAGTGTGATTTGGACACATAGTTACAGCGGTTTTACAGAACAGCTGGTGTTTACAGGTCATTCACATGGAAACGTGTTAAAATCTCTCTGGCCTGATACACTGGCATCAGCCTCCAATTCCTGTTAGTACTCCAGTCAGTTCCAGTGCACAAAAACAGAGCCTGACCGGAAACAAAGTGAGATGAGGTCAGAACAAGATAGTGACCCCAAAATGTAAATAGCAAAAGGTGCTTTGTTGTTGTTGTTATTGTAGTTTGGTTTTTTCCCCCCAGACATAAACACACAGGTGGATAAGTCATGAGAGAAACTAGTACGAAGATTTACTGTC